TTTAAATCATTTCTGTCCAAACAAATGTTTTGTCACACTCAGTTTTAACGTTGCCAGCTAAAGTTTATTAGACCAGCGTTAACAGAAGCATGTGCGTGAGTGTGGAACTTATCAGCTGTGCTGGGACGATGTCTTTGGAAATGTGGACCAGGACTGAGAAAACAAACTAACAAAAGGTGCATCCTGACAACAGGAAACAGCCAAAGAAATGTCAAGACTACAAGGGGAATTCCATAAATTTAGGATTTTCCTACTTGATATTCACTTTTGTTGTTCTGCTGAACAACAATTTCTTTCACAGAGGACAGTGTATGCTCTCACAGTGACCCCCAAATAAAAGGTGTAATATTGTGATGTCAGAGTTTCACGAACGCAGCTCTTTGCTGAAGACGGGCCTGTTCTGACCTGTCAGCTCATTCCATCAACTACAGAACAGCTACACTCTTTTATAAATTCAACACCATGTCACAAAGTCTGCAAATGTCAAAAATCAACCGTTTTAGTAACACATTACATACTTTTAAAAATGGGGTTTTAACGATAATCTAAAAATCAGACAAATCTTTTGTTTGTAACTTTATAAGCGGACAAAACACATCAATGAGGTTCACTACAGACAGGTTTTACAGACAGGCAGAGAGAGGGGCTCCTTATTATCATTAAGGGACAATGTCATGCAAATGAAGCACAGCAGCCTAACAACATGCACTAAAATAAGGAAAAGCAAAAATCCCTCATTTAAACTTTGTTGTAAAGTTTGGGAAAATGCAGAGGAGGTTTTTTATAATAGTGTTCTTTGTCAATGACTCCTGCACTTTTAACAAATGTGAGCAAGTTAAAGTCACAGCGACAGGGCAGAGGACATTTGGGACGGGGTTTGAACGTCATTGTTCACCTGCTCTACTCACAGTCGCTTCGCTTCTGCTTTCGTTCACAGTATCCCACAGTAACGCTCGGGTATCTAGTCATTTTGAAGTTGTACACCACGATAACTGTGTACAGAAGCAATCTACAAAAACTGCAATAGTTCAAGCAGATTACAGCATAATGTCAGCAGCTGGATACAGACGTCAGTAGCATTGGTGTAATTACTCTCACCACCATCAGGTGGAGACAACAGTTCAAGTTTAACATTCTTTACATTGTTGATGAAATATAAACGCTGAAAGCCAACCTTGAAGATTTGGATGGCCTGTTGGTGTGTGAGTCCTTGCAGAGACTCTCCGTTCACCTCCAGAATCTCGTCTCCTGTGTGGGGAGGCATAAAATCACCGTTAGTAGGTAATGATCTCTGCCAGGTGCTGTCAAGCTTTTCCTTCCAAGTCAGTAACACAGAATGAACAGGAAGTAATACCCTCCTTCAGCCGTCCATCAGCTGCCGCAGCACCGTGGGGGAATATTGTCCTGACAAAGATGCCCATCTGACCACGTGCTGAGTCCTGCCCACCAACAATACTGAACCCAAGGCCCTGTGGGAGTTGGAGTCAGGCAGAACAGCAGGAACCAAGGGTTCAGTGTTATCATCACAGCTTTTAGTAGTGACACATGACAGCGCACATTTAGATGTATCGCCATGCATAGGTTTCTTTTCTCCTTACATAGATATCAAGGTCGGTAGAAGTTCCTACCAGATATATTGAAAGTTGCAGTGAAAACATCATTAACAAAGTAAAGTGTGAATGTAAAATGTTTCAGTTGATAACAATGATGTAACACAGGTCAGAGGTCAGTCTCTACTACAGGATGACAGTCAACTGCATAATGTGGGTTTACTTTGAAAAGCTTATGGAAGTAAACACAGTCAGAAGATCCTGCAGCCACATACTGCAAAGGGCCTTTGTGACAAAGCAC